ATAAGCAATCGCGCAAATATGCAAAAACTGGAAAATGAAGGGATTTAAAAGAATATAACAGAACGATAAGTTGCATAGAACTTAAGTGATAAAAATTGCCATGCCTTTGTAAAACCCTAAAATCATTTAATGTTCACTTGACACAGTCTGAGACAGTAGAAAGTGCGGTGCCGGTCCTTGTAAATTGTTCCAAGCGTTTGCACTCCATGACTGAAGGCTCGCATTCAGCAAAAGTGGATGTATAGTATTCAGAAACATTATAAGACGCCTTCTCTGTCATCGTTTTTGAGAAGAGCCGTTACTCACCGTTGGACTTGTTGTTGGCTCGAATGATCTCGACTATTTCATCACTGACGATTTAGATCTGTTTGACCAGTCTTTGCTCGGTCAGTAAGAAGCGTGCCGTTCAATGCCTCTGTCATGCAGGCCGTGGAGATCCCTTAATCTCATTTTCCAGAGAACCTATCTTCCCCTACAAAACTCAGACGTGGGTATAAATTTCAGCAACATTTGCATTGACGCTCGGGTGAAATCAGGCAGACCAAGGCGGATGATTTGCCGAGACTGTGTAGCTCGAAATTAGCCGGATCACTAAAAACACGTGCACCAATAATTATGGCCTCTAGGTTGGGAATAGTATAGTGTTTAGAGGATATGTGAATAGCCTGTTCTGCTACTTGGTATTTTTTTATTTAAATCTCTTTCTAGTTTATAAACCGCCTTCGATTATTCCTTTCGTAGTTTTTCAAGACAGGCCCCTTGGGAGACCGATGTGGGTTATTCCACGACGGCTTCTTGAAAAGTGGAACCAAAGTTTGGTAGGCAAAAAAACAAAATGTGAGCAACAAACATGCAGATGAGGTTTCACGGTGTCAGACGTTTCGCACTCATGATCACAAGCAGAATTCCAAGCTACACGAAAACCAAGGGACAGACAACTCGGGCTCAAGCAAGTGCTTCATTCGAGAGAAGAGGCACTCTAAACTCTAAAAGATTGATTTTCACTCAGGAGTCAGGTGCTGGCTACCATTTCCCAGGAAACCGAAAGCTTAGTTAGACCACATAATTAGTAGGGTAAATAGGATAAAATGACTATAAGTAACCATTCGTGACCTTGGGATTCCGCTTCCTATGAAGGGGGTCAAGATATCGCCGACTTAGCAGGCATTTTTGTCAGTGATTCCAATCATTTCGCATGTATTATCTGCTGGATGCTGATGTGGCTGGCGTTTGAGTAGTCCGCGTTTCAGGACATGGTCACAGGAAGGGAGAGAAGGCTAGTCATGGGGCTTTGCCTGTAGGTACGGGGCCACCCGCCAAAAAAAAACGATGACTTAATTTTGCATATGCTAGTTGGTATGCATTGTGTGTCCAGAGCACGATTGTCGGAGAGAACTGGTACATGTCTGCTCTTTGAATCCTGAGACACAGGTCTTCGATAGAAACAATAGCGTACACGATAAATAAGATCACAGACCCACGGCGCAACGCGATGTACAGATTTTGCGCCAATGCAAGAGATGATGCAGGATAGCGTTAACGACGCGGGTCTAATTGTGCTGGTGCTTTTTAAAACTTGTACTGGCGTGTTACCAGCATAAGTGATTCACAGGGCCCTGCTTCCCAAATCACCTTGGAGCATTTCAGCAGTTCGAGTTAATGACTCTCATCTGAAGGGTTCGCAGTCGACATCAGAGAGATGAAGTGGTTGCGGAGACACAAAAGCAATCCATAAACTAATGCTAATGACAGGAAAAGCTATTGACAACTCGGTTTAACCGTAACCTTTTTCTCGTTAAACTCTTTTTGTACTGCAATTAGCTGATCCACTTGAATTATCATTACCAGCTGGCAAATAGATATATCCCGACAGAAAATGCAACTCCCCATCGAATCTTCTAAGTTCAATCAAAAGTTAGACGTCGCAAACGCTCGAGTGCTACCTAGCACTGGCGCATCAAGAGAGCTTCCAAGGAAGCAGCAAAAAGCAGATACAAGACCTCTCTGATCTGTGGTTGCCAAATATGTGCTCTCACAGGTAATAGCCCGCAAGAGCTCGATGTTCTCAAACCGGTTAACCAAAACAGCTTTAAACGACAGGCAATATCTTAGTGGCAAATCTTTATCGTCGTTCGTTGACATTCCGGCTATCAAGTAGGGAAGGCCCGTCTCAGATTTCTTCGCCAATTTCACCCTCGGTCAGGCAGCTAATTCGAGAGTAAGTCCATTTTTCAGAACTCTTTTCTGAGTAGACATAGATACTGAAGTCCCCATGCTACATGCTGGTGTGAAGTTAGACGCAAATTAGATTTTGGGAAGAGTAAGGTCCGATTTTGAAGAATTGAGGGTCAAGTTAATAAATGTTACCAACGGTGGAGGCTCCCCTCCTTGAACCTAGACAGCGGTGGGGCCCACTGCTCAGGATCTGAGGGCAGTCCACACATGTACACGGACGAAAGTCCAGTACGAAGTCGCGGCAGCATAACGCTTCATTAACCACGACGTCCACCTGGCTTCTAACAGCTTGTCAAGTTGCCCTTACTGGCAAAGGCCGTAAAAGACAACCGTTACTGCCTCTGTTTTCATTTTTATTCATACCTGGATCCTGAAAGTTGAGTTCGAGGCAGAAAGCTGCTTTGCAAATATACCTTAATTTGGCAGCAAAATTCAACCGAAAGTGTAGTTGAAAATATGATTTCGAACAGAAACCCATGTCCAAGTGATGTGGCAGTGCTGGTTAGCAGATAACATAGTTCGTGGCTAATTTATACAAGTCAGACATTGGTATGAAATGTATCTAACCGTACGCGCCGGATTCCGTCTACGGTCTGCTCGATTCTGTCTTGTCACCGACCCACATTGCTTCCTTATTAGGCGAAGCTGAGATGGGCATAAGAGGCGTCCAACCCCCTCAGTGCCACCTGAATATTGTAGATGCAGCATTGAAATTTTATGCGCGTATTTATTCGCCCAAATAAGTCGTATATACTAAAGTATACGCCATTTGTTGAGCGAATAAATAATCAATTTTGTTTAACTGGGTCATTCTGGGGCATTTTTTGCTGATCTCACTGCACGTACAGCAAGTGTGAGCGCTGATCAAGTGTACATCGGGCGTATCGCCCTTGACTCCGTGGTGCGTTATGCAAGGCATTTTTATGTTTTTTATTACTGACTGCCTTAATTATTACGGTCGCCGGATAATTTAAAGTGACCTAAAGTGTAATTAGGTCTGATTGCCGAATGACACCTCTCTCAGCAGACTAGCCACTCAACGTGTATTTATACCCCGAGTACATTGTTTAATGTTATCAATGAGCAGCAGATATGAGACGTAAGTATTACAGAGTACCTCAATGTTGCCAAGAAGGTCAAGTGCACGATTCGGAAAAAAGTCAAAATATACGGAGGTAGCAGAATTCATTGGTAACAACCAATTTCGCGACAGCTCATCAATTCAAAACCAACGTTTCATAAGACGACAGTTCGACTATCGATTTCGATTATATTCACCGTGTACAACACACCAAGATGCATCAGGCACGGTGACTTGCGCGTAAATTTGTTTTAAGTGATAGTAGACTTGCTCAGCACCTACCGTACTCTCTCTTCTCCACTCCCCACTGGGACCCGATGCCAAGACAGAGTCAAGAAGACCGGAGGCGGAGGGGGGGGGGGCTCATGTGGATGGCACAGTCGAGCCCGCATCTTCGGGTTTCACTTCACACTGCGCGGTCCACAACATACACTTGAAAGGTATTTTTCACACAACAACAAGAACACCTCAATAGGCGTCAGAAGGACGATGATGAGTGGGCAGCCATGCTCACCATCTGTATACACAGCGGAAGCGCAAGTGCATCTACCGGCAAGGAACCAGATGTCAGGAAACTGCCAGCCCACACCAGGCTGCAAGGGCCATGATTTGCTGACGCTGGCATAGCTCACGCTTTCAGACCTTTTGACCTAGAAGGGTGACACGTGGCCCTGCATTTAGCCTGGGCCGTCACCCTTCAAGGTTATGTAACCAAACAGTGGTCGACTGAGAGCCACTACCCATAAAACACACACCCTCCTCACATACATGAGAGTGTCACAGATTGCTTGAGAAGTGGCCGTAACAGCCTGGCTTTCAGCCCACCAGTCCGCCACTCCACACAACACACACACAACTGGGCAGGCTGTGTGGACGGAGTTAAGGCGCCAGTCGGCTGCCTTCCGAGCACGGCGCTCGGTGCATCGTCTTCATCTCAGATTCCGATCACACATGCAACAGGGGAGCCGCATGGTGAAGGGCCGAGACGCACACCTCCCACTTGCGTGGGAGGTGGCAGTTGAGCGCTTGCGGTGGGTGATCTTGATGCGCGGTGAGTTGCTGGTAATGGTGGATGTGATGGTATGGTGCAGCCAGCGGTAGTCTGCCGCAGATTTTTGTGGACGTGAATGCGACCTTATAGATCCATGCGGTGAATAAATGTGCGAGTGAAATGTGACCAGCGGAAGCGGATGCGGTGAGTGTAAATTGGTGTTTCAGGCACTGGTTCGCCGGTCTCTGTGCAAATGATTAGAAAGTGACCGACCAGGCCGATGCGTGGGGTAAATGTACGGGGACAGTGTGGACGTGATAAGTCGACGGTGTCAGTATCAGTTTCGATGATGGTGGTGGTGGTGGGCGCGCTGCACAACGGAGTGTGGGTTGAGCTGAGCATGGTGGGTGTGCAAAATGTGCTGAGCGTGATAGAGCTGGTGGCAGTGGACGCGCTGGGTGGCGGTGTGAGCGGTGCTAGGCATGATGGGTGTGCTGGATGTGCTAGGGGTGTCGGGCTGCGGTCAGTTCCGCTCTCGTGGATACAAATGTGTCCGAATACGCCCATGCTATGCATGAATGTGCGTGGGCAGTGTGGACAGTGGAGGCGGATGCGGCGGGTTAGGGTTGGTGCTCCAGGTGCTGGTTCGCCAGACTCCGTACGATGTGAGGTGACAGTGCTATAGCAGTGAAGTCAGATATAGACCCGGTCCTCGTCACTGGTCTTAACGGTGGTCTTGGTGTTTGTCAGTGTGTCAGGAGAGTGCGTAGTGTTGATGGGCATGGCAGATGCCACAACGGTATGCGCTGAGGCGGAGGCGGAGGCGGAGGAGGAGGAGGAGGAGGAGGAGGAGGAGGAGGTGGTGGTGGTGGTGGTGGTGGTGGTGGTGGTGGTGGTGGTGGTGGTGGTGGTGGTGGTGGTGGTGGTGGTGGTGGTGGTGGTGGTGGTGGTGGATAGTGGTGGTCCGGGAGGACGATCAACGCTAGTTGAGGTGAACGAGCAGAAGACTATTGGTGCAGACCGGGTGCTGCAGTTGGTTATTTGAAAACAGCCAAAGGCTTGACTGACCTTTGAAGTTCAGCGGGCCACTTCGATCTTAGTGCTGCGGGAGAGGGTGCTGCCCAGATATGTGACGAGGATGATAATGTTCTCACGATCTAACGAGTTAGATCTCACGAGCCCCTAGCATTAAAGACAGCAAGTAAAACTGAGCAGTGAATAATGTAGAGATTCTGAACGTTAAGTAACCTGGCAACAGAGCGCGACAGCAACGCAGGCCAGCAAGGCGGGCTGTACCGGTTTGTCGTTTTTCGTCACATTCAAACAAGCAATTCGGTCAAAGAAATTAGGACAAGATGGTCAAAGGAAAATTAGTCCGGTACCTTACCACATTACCCCGCTACTAGACCGGAGGGCGACGTAATGCGGCGCCGTAGGATATGTATAAGTCTAAAAAATACGTTACTAAACGATCGGAGAAATAAACGTGACGGTCACTGCAGCAGGAGGTACAGTCGAAGAGGGTTGACTGTATGCTATGGTGGAGGATAACGTTGCACTTGGATGCTGTAGACATTTAGGGAGAGGAAGTATGCGGGACGAGGGATAGAGGGCAAGGGAGGAGAAGGGCGAGACAGTGGGCAGGGTGAATGAGCTGGGGATAGGGAAGACGGAGGAACAGGGATAGGGGGTCAGCACATCTTTGTCCATGTGACAGGTCGGGCGGCTCCTCTGCAACAGCAGCCTTGACCCGATCGACACTGACCACGTCCCCTCGTCACCGCGAAGAATTCGGCAGGTCTTGGCGTTGGGCGCGAGCGCGCGGAACGGCCCTTCGTATGGTGATTCCCACGCCTGGCGCACACGGTCTCACTGGACAAACACATGAGCACACTTGTCCAAGTCTTTTTCGATATAAAACTCAGTCATTGGAGTTCGAGGTGGAACCGGGAAAAGCGAGCGTATAAATTGCCGCAAACGGTGCACTAGATTGTCAGGAGTCTCGTCGGCCCCACGAGAGGCTGGGGTGATCATCTCGCCTGGCAGTCGGAGGGTAGTGCCGAAAACCAATTCAGCCGCGCTACAGCCTAGATCCGACTTCAGAGCTGCGCGGATGCCGAGGAGTGCAAGATGAAGGTTGTCCGACCAGTTTCCTGGGTCTTCTACGGCACGCGGGGCGGTATTTAGCTGGCGATGGAAACGCGCAACCATACCTTTGGCAGCTGGGTGTTAGGCTGTCGTCCGAATGCGTGTGCAGCCAAGGAAATTGAGGAACGTTTGGAAGAGTGCGGACTCCAACAGGGCACCACGATCAGTCGTAACTGTGGATGGGGAACCGAACATGGCGACCCAACGACTGACAAAGGCCATCACGATGGTTTCAGCCTGCGTATTCGGCAAAGGAATAGCTTCAGCCCAGTGGGTATATCGATCGACACAGGTAAGGAGGTGGGTGAAACCACTGGATGGAGGCAAGGGGCCTACGACATCCAGGTGCACATGGCTGAACCGTGCGTCAGGACTGGAGAAAGTGCCTGGTGGTGACTTGTTGTGACGCTGCACCTTGTTGCGCTGGCCACTCAGACACGACCGGGTCCAAACTTTGACGTCCTTATTCATGCCAGGCCAGACAAGTCTTTTCGCGAGGAGTTTTTGAGAGGCTCGGATCCCAGGGTGGGAGAGTCCACGCAAAGTTTGAAATACAGCTCAACGCATCGAGGCGGGCACGAAAGGGCGATGAAAGGGAGTTGAGACGTCACAAATTATGGTACCAGAGCCGGTGGTCAGAGGAACCTCACCGAGTTGGAGACCATTAACAGACTCGTCGCCGGGACAACCGACTCGCTGTTGCTCAGCCACCATGGCGCAAAGATCGATCCCGTGTAAGAGTTGGAGGGAAGACAGTGAGGGTCTATACAGCATATCAGCCACCTCATTCTTCGTGCCTTCAATGTGACGGATGTCGGTGGTGAATTGGGAGATGTAGTCCAGGTGCGCGATTTCCCTCGGATTGTACTAGTCGGATTGGGAACGAAGTGCGAAAGTCAACGGTTTGTGGTCAGTGAAAACAGTGAAGTCCCGACTTTCAAGGAAATGCCGACAATGCTTCACAGCCAGGTAAATGACAAATCGTTCACGGCCAAAGGTACTGTAGCGTGTCTCAGCTGGTAAGAGTTTTTTGGAGATAAAGGCAAGTGATCGAGCCCAACCAGCAAGGTGTTGTTAAAGGACTGCGCCTACGGCTACGGTCGAAGCATCTAACATCCCAGACAGCTGAGCTTCGGGAGCGGGATGCGTGAGTAAGGTGGCGTAGGCAGGGGAATTCTTGATTTTCTCAAGAGCAGTAAGTGCTTCACCAGTCAGCTCGAGGGGGCCTTTGGGACCAGAAAGCATGATGGTGAACGGCAACATGAGGTCAGCACAATGCGGTAGGAACCGGCAGTAGAAATTGACCATGCCGAAGAATCGCACTAACTAATTCTCGGAAATCGGTGGAGGGAAATTACGAACTGCTTCAACTTTGGAGGGGAAAGGACGCAAACCTTCAGAGTCGACCTGATGGCCGAGGAACTCGAGCGAAGGCACACCCAACACGCACTTGGGGGGGGGGGGTTGATGACAACGCCAAACTTGTCAAGACGGTCAAATACCAAGGCAAGGTACTCTTTGTGTTCTTCCTCATTCCGGCTGGCCACCAAGAGGTCGTCAATGTAGGCGCACACAAAGGGTAGCCCACGTAAGACATGGTCGATGAAACTCTGGAGCGTTTGGACGGCACTTTGAAGGCCGAAGGGCATGCGGACGAACTCGAAGAGACCGAAGGGTGTGGTGACGGCGGTTTTAGGGATACCCTCAGGGGCGACTGGAATCTGATGAAAAGCACGCACCAGATCAATCTTCGAGAAAACCGCTTCGCCGAAAAGGGCTCCAGCAAAGTCCTGAAGATGAGGCACGGGGTACCGATCAGGAATGGTGGCGCAGTTGATGGCTCGATAGTCGCCACAGGGTCGCCATTCGCCTGATGTCGCCTTGGGCACCATGTGCAGTGGGGATGCCCAAAGGCTCTCGGACGGTCGAATTATTCCCAGTTGCAGCATGTGTTCAAACTCAGCCTTCACGGCCTGGAAACGCTCCGGTGCTAGTCGTCTCGGTCGAGCAAACACGGGAGGACCTGAGGTGCAGATATGGTGCACAACATTTTGAACCTTACCACTGCGCAACTGGGGTTAATTATGTGGGGGTGTCTAAGAAGTAATTGCTGAAAGGGGCTAACAGTATCTGTATCCAAGAACACATAAGTTGGTGGGACAGTAAAGGGAGTTAGTCCACGAACAAACAGACCGGTTGTGCGGTCGAGGAGACGGGCACGTCGTCAGTCAACAAGGAGATCGAACTCGGCAAGAAAGTCCGAGCCGAGGATTGCATGAGAGACATCAGCAATCACAAAGATCCAAGTGAATGACCGACGAAGGCCAATGTTCAAGGTGAGGGACAGACTGCCGAAAGTTGGAATGGGGGAGCAGTTGGCAGCTTGGAGGTGAAGACCAGGGCTAGGGAAACGAAGATCAGCTGCAGCTGGGGGAACAACACTGATTTTGGCTCCAGTGTCCACCAGGAAACGTCTGCGAGTCGCAGTGTCGCAAACATAGAAGGTGCGACCAGAGCCGGAAGAGCCAGAGAAAACGGTCGCATCTATTCTCTGGACGACTGGTTTCCTGGTTTCGGCTTAAAAGAGCAAGGTGAGGAACAGCGAAGGGCCTTAACGCCGAAATTAGTGTGTTGCCAGTTAGTATCAGCAGTCCGAGGTCGCGAACGAGAACGACGACGGCTGTGTGAGCGACTGGAAGTAAGGCGGGCGCGCTAGAGTTTAAGGGAGATCATCTCATCCGCCATGGCCGACACCTGCTTCATTAAATACTTATTCACTGACAATGAGGATGAGGAGATCTGGGCAACGGAAGGTGACTGGAACCGCTGCACCTCTATCAGTCGATCCGCCATTTTAGCCAGTTGTCAGACCGTGAGATCTTGAGAACCGGACGTCAGGATCGTTTGAACATCTGCAGGCAGACGCTCTAGAAACATCTCCTTGACGCATTTGTCGTTAACCTTCATGTCTCCAAGGAGAGAATGCATTCGACGTAGAAGTTCTGAGGGCTTCCGGTCACCCAGTGACTCCTCCTTAAGTAACTGGTGATACCGCTGTCGGTCGGAAACAGAATCAAGTCGAAGAATTTCTGCCCTTAACGTGGAGTAGGGAGCATCTGCAGGAGAATTTGATAGCAATGACTGAACTTGAGAGATGACACAAGCGGGGAGGAACTCCACAAGTTTGTGGTATTTCGCCAGCTCCTTGGTAACGTTAGCAGAATAAAAGCCTGATTCTATGCGGATGAAGTAAAGTTCTGGAGGGTGTTGCCGGAAGTCAGGTATGGTAAAATTTATGGCAGGAAGGGACTGGGCGGGATATCAAGTTGTTGGTTGAAATGAGACATAATAAGACAGAGATCGTAAAATATCAGGATTCGTGAAAAAAGAAAACGTAACTGGAATAGATATTCCCAAACAAATATTACGTTTAATATTTCTCTGTATGACACAGAAAGATATAAAGTCAGCGTTAACGTCGGGAGTCACCTATGACGAGGATGATAATGTTCTCACGAAATAACGGGTCATATCTCACGAGCCCCTAGCCTTAAATGCAGCAAGTAAATCTGAGCAGTGAATAATATAGAGATTCTGAATGTTAAGTAACCTGGCAACAGAGCTGGACAGCAGCGGAGGCTAGCAAGGCGGGTTGTACAGGTGTGTCGTTTCTCGTCACATTCTAACGAGCAATCCGGTCAAAGAAAATGGGACTAAACTGTCAAAGGTAAATTAGTCCGGTACCTCATCACACGTGAATTTGTCCACTACTAGCAGGTTGGTTCCGTTCATGCTGATTTGCGGCGCATTGTGATGTGGGGCTGTGTTGGGTGGCGGTTGGTGCATGATAACCGTCTTCTCCGTGTTGATGACAAGGCCGAAGTTCTCGCAGGCAGCGGAGAAGAGGTTCATGCTCCTTTACATATTTCCTTCACTAGTTGAATTGTGGGCGCAGTCATCGGCGAGCAGAGGTTCGTGGACGGTGGTTGTGGATATGCACGATTAAAAGTGCATCCTCTTGTGTTTGAGTAGTTGACCGTCCGTTCTGTAGGTGACGCTGATCCTGGAGCGTTCGTCACGCTAGGCGTCCATTGCCATGCCGGATAACATGAGACTGATGGGGGTGGGTGTCAGGACGCATCCCTGCTTCACTCAAATGGTCATTGCGAATGCCTCTGAGACAGCTCCGTTGTCCGTGACGCGTGCCACCATGCCATCGTGGAATTGACGCAATATCTGAGTGAATCGCTCGAAACAGCTCTGTTTCTGCATGATTTTCCACCGTCCTTTGCGATGCACAGTGTCGAAGACTTTCGTCAGATCCGTGATGGTAGAATAAAGGTGAGACCGCATCTCCGGACACTTCTCCTGAAGTTGACAGGTGACGAAGATCGTGTCCTTGGTCTCACGGTGGCGGCGAAGGCCGCCCTGGCTCTCTGGCAGAAGACTATGTTCCAGATGGTGGTTCAGGTCGTTGAGGAGGATTCGAGCGCAGATATTCCCGGTGATGTTCAACAGAGAAATGCCTCAGTGGTTGTTGCAGATCTTGCGGGTGCCTTTCCGTTATGGAGATAAACGATTGTGGCGTCCAAGAAATCCTGCCGGACTTCTCATGGACGCTATATCTCCTGGAAGAACGTTGTCAGTTGGTCCATGAGTTTTGGCCACCGTGCTTGTAAATCTCAGCAGCGATCGCGTCCGATCCGGGCGCTTTTCCGCCGGAAAGCTGCTGCACGATCATTATGGTTTCGTGGGGAGAAGGCAGGAGGTCGAGGTTGGCAATGGTCTCTACTTGAGGCGGGTGGGCAATGGCGGCGTCGTAGATGGTGGATGGACAGTTGAGGACGGCTCGAAAGTGCACGGCTCATCGCTATGGAATTTGTATCTCCTCGGTGAGTTGTGTACTACCGTCGGCTCTGAGAAAAGTAGCAGTTTCTTTGGTTGGCGGACCGTAGACAGCCTTGATTGCGAAGAAGAAATTCATTCATTCGTTGCGGTCCGCGTACCTTTGGATCTCTTCGGCCTTGCAAGCCGTCCGAGCGTCCTACATCTCCCGCAGCCGCTGTTGTGCAATGCAGCGACTGCAGTAGAAGACTGCTTTGTTGTGATTGGTGGAGCGATTGACGTAGGCTTTATGCAGTCGATTCTTCTCGGCGAGCAGTTTGCTGATGGTGGTGTCTTTGTCACCGAACCAGTCCTGATGTTGACGACGTGCGCGACCAAGGACAGCCAGGGCCGTCGAATGAACTGTGTTCCGGAGTTGGCATCACCGGTTCTCAATGGAAGCATTCCCCTCGATGACGGCGATGGAGACTGTAAATTTGGCTAGCCGTTGAGCTAACTCGTTGCTAAAATGGGGAAGGTGAGCAGGCAAAGACAAAAAAGCAATATTCAGCTTTCCTGGGGTTTGTTTACCTTGAGATCTCTTGTGAGGCTGTAGACGGATCCGCATCTTGGAGATGACGATACCATGAATGGTCCACCCGTCGGCACCCAGAGTCGCCTTCGTCACCAGCAGGTAACGCTGGTCTCGCCTTCGGATGAGGACATAGTCCAGGAGGTGTCATTGTCCCGACGGAGGGTGAATCCAGGTGGTCTTCTCTCGCTTTGGGAGGCGGAAAAAGGTGTTCGTCAAGATGAGTTGGTGTTTTGCGCAGGTTCGTAGAAGGAGCACGCCATTGTCATTGGAGCCGTCGAGGCCATGGCGACACAGCATTCCTCTCCAGACAGCATGGTCTGTGCCGGCGTGGACGTTGAAGTCACCAAGGACAATCTACTTATTCGTCTTCGACACAGGAGCCAGGAGAGCGTGCAGATCCTCGTAGAATGTGTATCTCGCGGTGTAGGGGCTGATCATGAGGGAGAGCGTAGATGCTGACGATGGTGGCGAATTTGCCTCCCCGGAGAGACAGACGGAGGATTATCGGGCGATCGTCGATGCCCTGCGGCAGACAGGGCAGGCGTCTCACGTTATCGTTCAGAGTGGCAAAGGCAACGCCCGCATTCCAGCGCTCTGTCTTGGGGCGACCACTCCAGAAAGAGGTGTAGCTGACACCCACCTTATCCAGTTGACATTGTTCGGAGAACCGGGTCTCGCTGAGTGCTGCGATGTCCACCTTGAAGCGCACCATTTCACGAGCCACTAGTGCCGCCCTCCGTTCTGGTCGATTGCTCTTCGGATTGTCTAAAAGGGAACGAACATTCCAGGCTGTCAGTGTGAACGGACTCACCCTACCAGTCTGGTGAATGGGGAGTAGGAGTGCGAAGAGAGGAAGTGTTATTTCAACTTTGAGTGTTTCGCCCCTGTTTTACGTCGGCGACCACGGTTAGCCCACAGACGGCGTGGTTCCCCAGCATTTGTTTAGGGCACCTTTTCTGACCCCTTCTCCCTCGCAGGGGTGAGCAGTGCTATCCCTATATTCAGTTGCTCAGTTGTGTCAGGCGGCTCCCGAACATTACTATGGGCCACGTCTTTGTTTAGTGGGAGAGCGATCCGAGTTAGCCTGAGACAGTTTACGACATCACCGTAAGCTGAAGGAGATGGAGGGTAGGGGACAGTAGAGAGACGGGATGTAGAGCTTTCTCTTCATTCTCTTGGTTAACTGGTTGCTGAAATGTAAGCGGTAGGCAGACAAATTCAGCAGAATGGAATTTCATTTATATTTTGGCAGATTTTGAATAATTCATATTGACCCAATTGTGAAAAACTCGGCGCCTCTGTGGGATTCGAACCCACGCAGTAACGGGAAGGCTTTAGCGCAGCCAACGCTCTAACCACCTGAGCTACGAGGCCCCGCCGGAGGACACAGCAGGAACAGACACAAATAAGCAGACAAAGCAAGCAGGCAGAGCAAAAAAACGCAAAAACAACGGATGAGATTCAACAGAACGGCAGTTAGTTTTTAACAAAGGCAGGCACGAAAGCAGACAGAGAGAAGGCAAACAAGAACAAGCGAGGCAAAGGCATTAGAGCAACGTCCACTAACCTTGTGACCCCCTACGGTGTTCCAGACGGAGCCTAGTCTCGACGATGCCGATGCGGTGATCCATCCGATCAACCAAGATTACCGTGTGCGAGGGCACACACGCGGTTACGCTCACCTGGTTTAGCCCGCCGGTCGAGGCGATTACCAGGGTGTGTCCGCTAGGCAGGGCCTAGCTTCGGTGAGTTGGGCGCCAACAAGTGGATGCTAATCGTAGTCTACACCTCCAGGCAAGCGGGCGACCTACTACGTCCGTCGCATGGACCCACCGCTGGACATCCCTACAACCCGCATTACACAGATGACTAATAAGAAGCATACAGTAACACGAAGTTGCACTGAAAATCCCTGCAAAACAGTAAGGTCATTGTTTAGTGCACACGGATTAATCAATGAAAATGGTAACTTAAAAACTAAATTTAGGCACACGTATAACGTGACCTGACCAATTCAAACTGTCGGAGTAAGATGCATTGTGTAGTATATCACATGGGAAATAAAGTAATGTTTGGTCTGTTTGAAAAACCATAGTTAGGTAAACAGTCAAATAACTGAAAACCGCTGCATGGACTTCCGGGTGTCACCGCTCCAAACAAATCGGAAAAATGCATGTGATAAACTCGTGTAAGGTGTACGCGAGTAGGAACAATAACGGTACTAATGACGCTGATGTAAGCGGGAACCAATAATGAGGTTAATGCTGAGCTGAGAGCTGGTGGCACTGATGTAGCAAGCAGCATGCTAGTAAAATTCGGAAATACAGCAGCAAAAAAAGGTCGTCACCATCTCAGCCTCATGAGTCAAAAGCGGTCCTTATCGACAAATCGGGAACATCGTGGGAGTCAGGCCGGATGAAAACAAATGCCCCCATCTATATCTTAAATACTGCGTTGCGTGCTGCATAAACCACTTCAGCATTGGATGATTGTCGACATTTGAGAATTCAGTAAGGATTTCAGTTCTCTTCATGAAATCGCATTCTTTCATCGCTTACGTACTGTGATTAAAAATCTATGAATATGAGGCCGAAAATACCTATAGTCTCCGTCGGACATCGAACAGAGGCGAACAGGGCCCTCTGACAATTAGCCTAACAGGCATTCCCGTCCTGTAAGATCAGTAGCGCTCAATGTTGAGTGTGAGAAATTCTAAGTACATACAGCCTGAATCCCCTCTCTGAATAGGGGTATACATTAAAATCTTTGGAATGGATAGCAGTCTATAAGCAAAAGAAAAGCAATGCTGCTATTTTTCCGAAAAGCCTGGCACAGAACGTATCGAAATGATCTGAAACAGGCCTTATGATGCGCTTCTTCTAAAGACTGTTAAAGATAGTCTGAACGAAAGCCCATGTCTCGGATACAAAGGGAGCTGAGGTACTAATTCGGTGTACATTGCAGGTCGTCCTTCCTTACCTTAAATCAAAACCACAAATCAAAGCTTTATTGCACACGGGCCAGTCCATTCCGTTTAATAGCAATGGTCTCATCCTATTGTCCATATTTTTTACCTCAGTGAGGCACTGAAGACCTATTTTCGTATAAAAAACGTGGGGATGATAACTGATATAAAAGTACTAATATAGGGCACGCCTTAATATCATAATAATGTATATATGCGAGCAATTTTAAAGCGCAAAGTAGGACTCTTGCCCAGGCAGTCGAAGCGAATTCAGAACTCTGGGATTAGCAAAGTTCGCAGGCTTGGGTTATTTTCGCTTAACCAACGTCTGGGTGGGCGTAGGAGACATTCCAAGGTTGCGTAGCTCAAGTCACATAAATCCAATGCAAGTTTAATGTTTCGACCGGGGATGACATGTCATCCTTTAACCTTACAACTAACCGACATGTCTACAGGCTGTGGACAGTGAAATGTCTTCAGTGAAAGTTATTTGCGGAATAACCAGGCTCTCGGGTCTGTCGAATACGCAGTCACGAACCGGCATTGACAGTGCTAGAAGGGCGCGGTAGATGAAATCCGGCACGCTAACTGCCTCATACGATGCCGTAGAGCGCGATGACAGCTCTGTGACGTGACGATCATGGGTCATCATTAATTAAGTTTGCTTGTTATCAATGCCCTGTGATTGGGTTCTTGAACAAATTTGCGGGAAAAGCCAACCTCCAACAAACAAACTGATTGATTGTTGGGGATCCGCCAGCGCTCAGAACCTCCGAAAGCCTTATGAAAAATGTCTAATTCAAGTATTAAAATACATGCTAACGACTTTTGTGGCGACCGACGCGGCCCACAGTCCTGGTCCATTGGCGTGGAAAAACAGCATGCGAGTTGAGCTACTCAGTTGAGAACGAATTCATGGTATTTCTTGTTGAAATGTGCGAACTTTCTTGGACCCTGGTACGCAAAGTTTGACGGTACGCAGACTTTATCAGAACCGAGACTTGATCTGAGTGCATATTCCCCAGATCGGCGTTGTCCAAAGAAACGAGAGCGGTTCCGCTGTCTTTCGTATTATGTTGTGGTTTAACGAACCAGGACATCCTGGGCTTACACCTTGACCCCCAGTGCTTTCTGATATGGACGCGCACTGCCGGTTTCTTTGGCAATCAGCCTTAATCACCAATCCCTAAATGTTATGAATAAAACACTTTCAGCGATCTCGAGGAAATAAGAAGTAGACAGGATTATCTAAAATTGGGATGTCTGGAGTAAGCCTCACTCCTGCTAAATCATTAGGGTTGGCGAAATCAACGCCGATATTTTTAACGGCTGGACAGTTATCTAATCCATATCTCCCATCTTGGAATCCAGCACGTACACGGGTTGTGACGAACTGCAACAAACTGAATGAATATGAGTCAGGGGATTCAGCACACATATTGGTATGGTAATGAAATGCACCAAGCAACTGAACAAAAAACTCTTTCGAAAAATAGAAGAGTATACTAAAAAAACTAATTAATAGTCGAATGCCAAACAATACAGAGAGCAGAAAGGGATGATGACGTTAGGAAAGGTGAGGATGAAGATAATTAAGAAAACGCAGCCGAATGAGGAGGGCGGTGAAGGATTTCACAAGGGGGATTACCGTTAGACTTCTGCCCGTTGGTTGCCAATTTCGAGGGTCTGGAGGTTTGCCCTAAGGGTACAAAATATGATCATCGAGGGGTTCACCCATCTGATGGGAGTCCCGTGCGCGTGTAATGCAATACGGAACCAACCAAGTTGTTTCAATCAAATGGAATCACTTTTGGCGGTGATCTAGGATATTGGAGTGACAGCGAGTCAGTGGAGATGGTTGACGCCCTCTCTTTCGCAATTGCTAACATCGCTCCCACCTTCGTTAGCCATAGCATTCTTTTGCTCTCTCCCCGACTCGGTAGTTCCATTTTCCTTCCTTGAAGTGCCCATGGGGCAGCACTGCTTATCGGTAGTCTCGGAGACATGTACGAATCAATGTCCACTCCAAATAGATCACTTGTATCTGTAACGCATTCATATCGCGTATTGTCTTGCAACCATCAGGAATTGGCCTATTGATCTGATGCCATTACTGTACTGCAGTATAGCGTAATGCTCCAACCCATGGGATTGGATTTTTGAGTGGGATTCTTTTGATCCGGCACGACGTCGTCACTCTTAATGTGGTGTAGCCTACTGTCCAAAGTTGAACCAAATGGTCCTGGGTCCTGTATGATTCCAAACCCTCAATATGTGGTTCAGGTCTCGCGCGCCTGCCTAATTTCTGGCCGCGGAATCCTATCCACCATTTCGAACTAGAAGACCAGTCTTTGCATTTAGGGCAAAGTCAAAAGTAGTCTCCAGTCTACTTTGCTACGATTCCTGTCCTTTCGAAGTGCAGGCACTGTCCGCAGGGCGGGCTGCCACTGGGTTGTCACTGTCACCAATTTCCAAGTGTGGCGGCACAGCTAGGGGCGGCTTCGGACGCGCCAGCTACCTGCGCCCTCTCCCGGCCTCCCTTCCGTCGGATCCAGGTGAGGGAAAAGGAGAGATTGCGGTAGGTGCTGTGCAAGTCTACACCCACAATAAACTAATTCACGCGCAATTCACCTTCCTTGCTTCACCTTGCTGTGAAGCGCGAGGTGGACATCGTCGGGCACGATGGTCGAACTGTCGGCACGTTCTACCTGTCCGCTACCTTCAGCTTGAGCTGGCGTCATCCTCGTTGAATGTACCAGGAGAAGATTTTCGATTTTATGTAGTAGCTTGCTTTCAAAATTAGTGTCATAGTCTGAATGCAGCTCAGTGGAGGCTGTAGACCTGCAGATCCAGTCATTGAGCAAGATATCGGTCACAGAAACGTCTTGTCTACGTAAGGGAACTGACAGCCCACTTCGCCAAATATTCCATCAACTCTAAAATGTACCGGTGGTCAGATGATTTGTATCGCGGTAGACCAGTGACGCCAATAACGACTCGTTCAAAAGAAAAACCCGCTAGCCGTAGGTTGTGACAGTGCTCTACATCGTGACATGGGACCTTTGAATGAAGCACATGTCGAGCAAGCATTGCAAAACGTGATTATTCGTTCCTAAGCTGGGGTCACCAGAAGCTTTATCTAATTATCACTTCACTTTTATATGACCCAAAATGTCCCAACTCTCAACGTAAATTGGTCAGGGTCAGAAAGACCATGACTACCGGGTACAGTGAGTCTTGGTTGCCTTGATATTGTGTCTCTGGAGGATGTGAATGGGTCCGCTTGCCCAGTAGAATACAAGCGGCCTCTGACGAGCCATGAAGTTTGTCTTCAGTTGGCCGATGTTTTTCACGAAGTTGATGGTCATATGTGATCGCTCCATTAAGGTATATGTTTTGGGTGGTCACTGATAGCGATGGCGGTTGTGACTGGACCCGTCGTTAGCGTTAGCGTGATTACTGACTGAGAGTATCCGTGCGTGTATCCCTAAACACGGCAACTCTACCCCTCTCCCTTTTTCCCTTTCTCCATCTCCTTTCCTTCCTCCTTCTCCTCCTCATTCTCTTCCCCTCTCTGCTCCTTCTTTTTCTTCCCCCCCTCAACGTCCCTCTTCTCCTCCCACCTCTATCCCGTATAGTCCCTCTCTACTCTCTACTCTACTCCCCTCTCCCACGGTCGATAAGTCCCACTATGCAATCATGTAAGCGGTCCTGGCCAATGGGTCGTTCTCTGAATACGCCTGGCGGCTCATAGTAGAGAGTGGCAGTCGTCTGATGTGGCAAAGCAGCCCTATTTAGAGGAAGCACTGCTTACTATTGAGGGATTAGGTGGCTATAAAGGTGTCCTAAACAAAGGCTGGGTTTATGACGGCTGCGCACGAATCGTGGCTCACAGGCTGCAATACTTGCTGTCGAAACAAACAAACAAGAAGCACAATTTTACCCTTTCCCCTCCTCTTCCCCCTCCCTCACCCTACCCCACAGGCTGCTAGGGTGGGTCCGCTCACTCTGACAGCTTGGAAAATTTGTTCTCTTTTAGAGAGTGTGTGAGAGAGAGAGGGGGGAATTCGGTTTGTTTTGATGTTGACAATTCGAAATTTTCAGCAAAAAATGGGCTTCATTCATGGTGCACAGGAAATAAAGTAATAAATTACTCAAGAGTCAAAAAGTTGTATACATAAAGGAACGACTATTATGGAAATCGTTGGGGTCTTAGCATCTGTATTTCTGTCTCTTTTCGCGTAAGATATCGCACCAGGAGTGGCAATACAGAATTTTGATATGCCGATGCACGACAAGGGCTAAGTCGAAAGCCACGGCACATGGGGCGGGAAGACTTCGCAGAAATTATTCCAGAATGCAGGAGATGAGCAACGTCGTCCAAAATTCGACTTGCAAATTGCTTGACGGTATTGAAGTGTCGTTGTAGTTTAACATCGACTGAAAACGCATAAGAAACAGTGGCAGCAGAAGAGGACATTGGGAGGACTCGTTTTCAAGCTAGCAGACTTTTTTGAACAAAGCAGAAAAAATTACAGAAGAACACCAAAGAATAAGAGGAAGAATACAGGCGTCTATTAATCGCCGGAACATGAGTTGAGATGTGTAGTAGGAACGTAAAGAACGAATGTAACAAAGAAGTTTACTAACTTTAGTAAGACGGGACTCAATATGTAGGTGAAATGAGAGGTTTACTGACAAAGTAACGCAAAATAACCTAAATGAGGATAGCTTGTTGGAAATGATGTCAAAGGATTCAGGACTAGGAGAGGGCCGCAGTCGGAAAATACACTGAACTGATTTCTGACAGTTCATTAGGAGACCATTTTGCTGTCAGCATACTGAGACATGTTCAAGGCCACCCTTCAGAGACTGGAGATGTGTTTGATTTTTGAGAGAGTGACCAACAACCACATCGTCCACGTACATAACTAACAGAGAGTCGTTTTGGGGTCTGTGGTCATCAGAGTGAAGGGAGAAGAGGTGAGGGAATAAAATGGAACCTTAAAGAACTCCGCAGTCATTGGGTAGGACTAAGGATTTCCGCTTGTCTAATTGGACAAATTGAGTATGGGACGTAAAGTAATCGCTGAGTCAATAGACAACCAAGCCTGGAGAGTCACACGCGGATGTTTTCGTAAGGAGAAGAGGACGAAGGACGGTACTGAAGGGGAAGAAGTAGTCAAGAAAAGCGCATGCACACTCGCGGCAATCCTTGTCTAATTCTCTAAGGTAAGAATGGACCATAAGGGCAACAGCATCTAAAGAAATACGCTTGGCCTTATATGCCAGTTGTAAAGGATCGGAAAAAGTTGGAAGAAAATGACTTTTTAAAATCCAGGGAATTTCGTCAGCAAGCTTTAACAGTGCAAAAGAGCAGGCTGTACACAACCTATCTCTACCGCCCGACCGATGCGAACAAAGCGGTCTTTTACCGATGTCTCTGCTTTTTGCAGCAACGGTTGCGAAGAATGCAGAAAGCGTATATGGCTCGCAAGGCCAAGGGGATTTAGGGTTGCGTCCACCAAAACAACTGAAAGCATTTCTTCGCCGCGATCAAAGCGATCTACGACGCGCGAACCAAAGGACCTGCGCCGCTTCTGCGCTTGGCCGAGCACTTCAGAAATGTCTCAGCCTTTCCTCCTGCAAGTGAAAATCAACGTCGACCTAGATCTCCCACTCTCCATCACAGAAACCATATGTGCTGTAGAACAACACTCCAACGGGAAGGCACCGGGCTCCAATGCGATCCCGGCCAAAATCTATAAGCACGGCGGCCACTGCCTGATGGACCAACTTACCACGATACTTCAGGAGACGTGGCACTGTAAACAAGTTCCTCGGGATTTCAAGGTCAACCATGCTTCACTCCTACAACCTCTGTGACAATCACAGGGCATCTCGTAACCCAACATCGGTGGACAAATCTTAGCCCCCGCTCTTCTTTATAGTCTCAATGGACATCTAGGGCAAAGACTTCTACCAGAAGGCCAGTGTGGTTTCCGAGGGCACCGGGACGCCACGGACATGGTGTTTGCCGCTCTCCAGATACAAAAGAAATACCAGGAACTGCGAGCCCACTTCTGCATTACCTTCGTGGACTTACGAAGGCCTTTGATACGGTGAATCGAGAGAGACTACGAAAGGTCATGCGGAAATTCGGGTGCCCAGATCGACTCACTGACATGTTACGTCAGCTTCACGGCGGGGTGATGGCGTGCGTCACGAACAATGGCGCAACCTCCAAGGCATTAGCAGTGACCGGCGGATTGAACCAGAGCTGCGCCCTCGCGCCTACCCACTTCAGTCTCATGTAGACTGCCGTCATGATGGACGCCTGCCGTGAGGAGCGTCCCTGGATACTCATCGCCTACAGAATTGATGGGCATCTTCTCAACAGCAGGCGTATGCAGGACCAACGCCTCCATCTACGACCACTGTCCACAATCTGCGAGCTCAACACCATGACCGAGGTGGACATGCAACAAATCATGGACCACCTCGCCGCCGGGTGCGCTAACTTCGGCCTGATTATCAATACGGACTAAACAGTGATCATGCGCCAACCGTCACTCAACACGCAAACCTGTGCTTCTCTTCGAAACACTGTAGACGGTAATCACCTCAAAATCAAGGACATTTTCGCTGTCTTCGAAACATGATTTCCAGCAGCAGAGGAATGACGACGAGGCGGTCCACTGGATCTCCAAAGGCAACCAAGCCTTCGGCCGGTCTCAGAACTCCCTATAGAATCGTCACGGTCTCCAACTGAATACTTAACTGAAGATGTTAAGGATGTCGTTCTTACGACACTTTTCTACGAAGCGGAGACCTGGACCGTCTATTCCTACCATGCTAAGAAGCTCAACCACTGCCATTTCAGCTGCATTCACAGAATACTTAAGGTAAAATGACAAGACAGGATCACCGACAAGGAAGTCCAAGAACGGATCAACATCCTCAGTATTCACGCCAGTTTAAGGCAAATACAGCTATTTTGGAACATCCATCAGACGTACCTTATGCCAATTGCTTTGGTATTTACTCACCAACCAGTTCAAGTAGTCGACTTTTATGTCTATGTATGCTCTATTTAGCACTGATGTTCATAGTCCACTTATACAATTTTTTTACCGTTTTTTACTGAATATCCAAAGCAATTATGAGGCGTAATTACTGTGGCTATCACCGCATCACCAAATACAAGCGTATTAAGCGCCAGATGAAGGCATATTATGAGGCCACTGAAGACCCTGACTCTGAGGTTCCCTCAACGTCGACAGCAGCTGGCGATCAATCCCTCGAACGAGAAATGCCCATTATGAGCTCCGAAACTTCTGCCGGCAGGTATTGTGTGTGTGCGCCTCAGGAAACTCATCATACAGGCTGATATTTTAAAGGAATGCCAAAAGTGGGTGGAAATCTGGCGTCCCTGCGCAGTTTTTTCGTTGGTGCGGCCAGGCGGGGCTGTCGCGTAGAATGCCCCTCCACAGCCCCTTCCACAGCCCCGCCAAGCCCCTTCATACCCCCCCCCCAGCTCCGCCATTTTTGAGGGGCTAGGCGCGGCTGGTGCTGACAGGGTGTTTTCGCTTAGTCCGGATCTCATAAGGAGTCACGCTACGAGCTCCCTCCACGTCTCCAACTCCGTGGATGAAAAATCCCGCTGAAAAATCGTTGCATGAGCCTATCCGAGTAGGGACTTTCTCCCCACCAGTAGCTGGGGTTCTTCCTCATTCTGAAAGACAAGCTTGAGCAATCTCGGTCACCATGACTCATCCTTTAAGTACGGTCCATCCTGAGGGCTTTTAGAACGATGACTCCCGTACCCCTTTTCGAAGGGGTTCATATATTGCTCGAATAGTTCCATGCCATCGTGTATTCATACCTTTGGTGTGTCTAGAGTAAATTCAGGGATGCCATTGATGACTATGCATATACTGCCATCCACACGACGGTCCTGTGGTTTTTTTTAATATTTTCGGGGATGACATCCTGGTCTTTCAGGTTGTCATTGTCATATAATTTCGAGAAGTATGGGGTGGCATGAGTCTGTGCTTATCGATGCTTCATGATTGTATTCTACCTTCGATAGCACGGTCATCATTCTCAGTGTATTTAATCTTGGTCCACTCATAATAACTCTACGGCTTACTCTGAGGTTTCCGGGTGCTCTGATACGTTTCTTTGTTTTCTGAGGCCCCATATGTTCGCCCTTTTTCTTACAAGAGACTGGTTATCGGTCTCGCCGAAACCCGTACACCGGCCGCCATCTTCCTCATTGGTGGTTTCATCTGATGAAGCCCTGTTTGCGTACGTCCCTTTTTTATCCTGTATGTTGTTGACCATATCCTCTCTTTAGATTAAATGCCGGGATTTTTCCTCAACTTCATCTCCATTTTAGACCATCTGTACCCTGTTCGATTCCAACAAGTTTCCGGAAGATTCTGAAGTATTTCGCACAGACCTTGTCTCCGTAGCCAACAGTCATCAAACTTATCAAGTCC